ATATATATATATATATATATATATATATATATATATATTTATATTTTATAAAATTATACAATTGTATTCAATTCTACGCCGTAAGCGTTAATGATAGAATATTAGTCATTTTTATAACTACTTTATTATTACATTACTATTTTAAAGTAGATATGTACAGGCACCTTAACTTATATACAGAGCTCTAAAGTAATGATTACTTTTGTATTCATTACAATTTGGAATAATTACATTCGAATTCATCTAGTAAATGTTTTACACTATACTGTTATGAACAAATTATTTGTACCTCTTTTCCATTACAATTGCAATATCTTTCCACGTTACCCATGAGTTAATATTGCTGTCAACGCGTTTTTTTTAAAGTGATGTCCCAATAGGCCACGTACATAGTTTATCATAACGAGTTTGTACAACGAGTTACTTAAATTTTAAGTAATTCTTGAGTGCTTTCTTTTTAATAATTATGCAATACATTATTCTTAATTACTGAGTAATTCAATTACTTTTAAATAATTTCTTATAACTACCCAGAAAGTAATTAAAAGGTATTCCAAATCTAAAGTAAATAAAAATATCTAAAAGTAATTAAAAGATAATTATAATTACTTTTTAATTATTTTGAGGTAATGTTATATACTTTAGATTTGGGATACCTCTTAATTACTTTCTGGGTAGTTATAAGTAATTGAATTATTCAGTAATTAAGAATAAGGTATTGCATAATTACTAAAAACAAAGTAATCAAGAATAACTTAAATAATTACCTTCTAATTCAAAATTGAAATTTATTATACTATGCAAATTTTCGAAAGATAGAACTTTCATATGTTTCATCCGTAATGTGTAGTAGCTAAAGTTTCTAAGGCTACCGCAATTCTTTCTTTAGCTACTACATTCCTCTCCAGCAATGCCAATTTTTTATTATAATATTCCTTTCTATTTTCTTTATCTTCCTCGGCTATTCGTGTCAGAAGCACTGAAAGCTTGTGATTTCATGCCAGAGGTTTGTTTTTGTAGTTTAGTGGCTCGACGTAGAGGGTGTTTCTGTCTCACTATAAATAAGCAATATATTAATCTAACTGCCATGCCAGCGGGCACTTTTAACTTATAAATAAAAACATTTAAAATAAAGTTAAGTAAATAAATTTGTTATGAAAGTTCATAACAGTAACCGTTCCTATATAAATAGAAAAATACATCAGCTATTACTTACCTTTTTCTATCTTAATCGTCGGTCTCTCTACTATTATTGAAGGGCCAGGTTGAGTCTGCTGGTTTTCCACCTTCTCATTGTCCACCAAGTCTGTATCTAAATATTCTTCGGAGTAGTCCTTCAATGGAAAAGGTAATATTTTAGTACCTTGGATATACTTTTCAATTTTTAAACATATTTACGTACAAATTGTATCGGCGTTTCATCTATACTGTAATCACCCTTTACTTGTGTTGCATGGATTGTGTTTAGGACACGTTTCTCCTCCACCGATAAACTTTCTGTATTTAACGGACCACTGCCTGTGGCATTTAAATTTCTGTTAATAGAAGACTGCTTTGCCTTCGCTTTTCCTCGGAAATCTTGCCACGTCTATTTTACAAAGGAAAAAAAATATGTTAATGCAGCTTTTGCAAAATTGAATATAAAACACTTATAAACACTATGTAAACACTTACACGTCTCCATTGTTTCGAATCTTTCTTCGCCCCTGGCGAAGCGTTTAAAATATTGGTTATTTTTTGCCACAAACGCTGCCCATCTTTCTACGTATAGTCGGCCGAAAATGTTGACCTCGTTAGGTTTGGGTTTGATTCTATACATTCAATAAGAATTTCTTTTTGCTCGCGGGATATGTTCCCTGTTCGTTTAGTTGGTTTACCCTCGTCGCACATTTTTGTTTCACGCAATTCTTTCCACGATATTTCCGCAAACGCTTGTGGGATAATACTGCCTTTCCTCAAACGCTTCTCGGTTAATACTGCCAAGTTTCTAAATTTGGGAAAACACATGGTCACTCGGAAGTACCGTCGCATCCCGTGGCCGCAATAAAACATTACAACTAGAGTGTAATAAACGGACGGCTAGGGCCTCTTGCACAGCGTTCTCCTTTACGGAAAACTACACGTGACATTGACAGGACGCCATGTATATTTCCGTTGGTATTTTCTAAAGTTGAACAATCATTGGTTCGTCTCCAACGCGTAAATCTGGCAATACTGTTTCATACGTATACGAATCAGTGATTCGTATAGTGCTCCAGAATACCGTTTTCATATGTGAACGATTCGTACACGAAACACGCCATACGAAAGTGTTCGTATACGACTAAATTCACACGAAACTCGAGAATAGACCTCCAGGGGGTCTGTACATAATTAATCTGTAAATAATTCCTAGAGTGCCGCGAAATTCAAACAAAGAGGAGTCTGTTCCCACTCCACACATAAATTTGCTATAGGATAGTACCACCGGAACCACTCATCTTGCATCTCTCTCGGACCGACTTCTCTCTTACAGTTCGCACTCCAGTTAGGATCATTGAGCTCTATCCTAACTGGAGTGTGAACTGCGAGAGAGAAGCCGGTCCGAGAGAGATGCAAGATGAGTGGTTCCGGTGGTACTATTCTATAGCAAATTTATGTGTGGAGAGAGAACAGCCTCCTTTTTGTTTGAATTTCGCTGCGCGCTTACGCCCCGCGAAGACGACGAGCATGGTTTCCCCCTCCCTTACAGCGTGCGCGCTTATTTCGTTACATATATCATTTGCGTCTTTCTTTCTTACCAATATCTGATAATTACCGACCGGTGGTGTCCACCTCTACCTTAACGACCGTGGATAATAATTACATCCTACCTTACCGACCGTAGGTAATAATTACCGACCCCCCACCACTCGTGCCCACCCCGGAGCTCCTGTGTTAGAACCGGCCTAGCTATACTACTCGAGAGGCCATTCTGGGTGCTATAATCTTTTACGCAGTTCACTCTGAGGAGGTATTCTGACGGTATTTTTATTTATTTATACTGTAGCGGGGGGAGTTTTATTTATCGTGCGAGCAGGGAGTGATTCTGGTTCAGATGCGGTTGATTCTGGGATAGTTACAAGGAGCTTGATGGATGGTGGGTATGTATTTGTTAGTTCGATGGGTTGAGAAGATTGTTCTGGGTGGTATGGTTGAATTATATTAGAGTTATTGCGTTTATTTGTTCATCTTAAGGGGCGTCAAGCTGTCACGGTGTTCTGATTTGTTTTGTATTATATTATCTTGTTTGTTTTAGGTTTGCTGTGCAGGTAGGGGAGGGATTATTGCTTTTGTATCTTCACGTCTTAGTTCGCTGTGAATGTGGGTTTGGCAGAGGGGGGGGGGGGGGGTGGCGTACTTGAGAATGTTCTTCTGATATTTGGTTTATTTGTGTTAAGTTAAGCGTGCTCTATGACTTATTGTTGTTTTGCCGTGCTATTCTTACGAGAGGGCAACGTGTATTTGAGATTGTATTTCTTGATTTGAGTTTGGAGAATAAAACTTGTATATCTTAATTGTTTATTTATTTACGAACCCCTTGTATGTCCTTTTTTATTTGCTATCCTCTATAGGGTCTTATTCGGTTTTGTCACAATGTTATGATTGAATAGCAGGGATCTGATGGTCTGGTCTAGCGGCTCTGTTAGGGGGTGGGAGAGGTGGTGGGGTTGATAGGAACTTGATGTTTGTGGAGAGTGGGTTTATTGGTGGGGGTAGGATCTTCAGGGTAGTGTGGAGGGGTGCTTATGTGATTCATTGGTGGTTCGAGGCTGGTGTTTGGATAGTGGTCGCTGTATGTTGGGTGGGGCTGGGAGTTCTACCTGTTCGACTATCGTGTTTCGTCTGTCGGTAGCGGTGGGCGGGTAATTCTGATTGGATGGCTTGCGGGGTTGGGCTCTAGTGGTTGGTTGGGGTGTCCTTTCCATCTTAATTGGGGAGGTTGCAATGACGGCTTGTTGAGCTTTTGTTTTCCTATTTCGTCTTATAGGATCCCGTTTTGCTTGTATCATGGGCGTTTTGTTGTGTGTGGAGTCTGTGCGTGTCTAATGGTTGTGGGTTTGGGATATATGTTATTGTCTGTGTGTATTGGGTGAGTTATTATGGGTTCGTTGTTTTGGGATGAGTTATTGCCTTGGTGGATATACGTGTTTTATTGGGGGTGGAGGATGGGCTGTTGGATGTTTGCTTTTTCTAGATGAGTTTGTGTTTACGTGTCTTCTTCCGTTGTGGTATTGGTGGGTGTCTGGTCTGTTGGTTGTTGTTTTTAGGTTTTGGGGTTGATTATTGGTTTTGCTGGTAATTTGAGGGTGTGGATAGTGTTTTGTTAATCTATAAGGATGAACATGGTGGTAGTTGGTCATATTGGGTTAGGACTTCTGTATTTATACATCTTAAGAGACTATTCGGTTAAGTTCCTAGCAGTAGTGTTCTTCTTTTGGGTTTTAGTTAGAGGTGTAGTTTTATTGTTGTAAGGTTGACTAATATCAGGATATGTATGGAGTTTGTTTGCATTCAGTTGTGTGTTTTAAGAATTGATTAATTTCATTAGCCTATGTATTCTTGGGTTGGTTGATTCATTTTAGGAGATTGAAGGATCCTTCTAGTCAGAGAGTGAAGGTTTGAGTTATTAGAGGTATTCTGAGTGTTGGTTTAGTTATTTATGTTGTGGAGCAAATTAATGGTTTTTTTATGGGGACTGTTTGGATAATTGCTTTTATAGGGGTTGGTTATTGTTGGGAGATTGAATAGAATGAATGATGAGCGAGATGCTCAGAATTCTCTATATGGAGGGGATAAGATTTATTGCTGGGATAGTAGCTTGAATAGTTTTGATTTTTGTTTTAAGGATTTATTTTATTTGGGAATTATTGGGTTTGGATAATTTTAATGGGAGCGTGGCATTTAGGATATTGGGGTGGTATTGAATTTGAATATTTATATATAAGTGGCTTTATTGTGGTGTTTTGTTAATCTATATAAGTGGGGAGTAATTGGTGATTGGACATTTGGGTTGGTGGTTCTGTACTTATTTGTTTTTTGGTAGAATCTATTTGATAGTAATTTGCCTCTCTTTTGGTTTTCGTTGGTTAGGTGTAGTTAATTATTATGGAGTGCGGGTTTATTATTATGGCGTGGTTTTGTGTCCAAGGAAATCTATAGGCAAGTTTTATATTTGATTTTGATTTAAAGATTGATTACTTAAAGTTGTCTAAGTCTTATTGCGTTAGTTGATTCATTTAAAGGATCATTCTAATTGTGTAGTGTGGATTTCAATTAGTAGAGGTAGTGAAAATGTTAGACTTGTGTATGCGTTGTAAAGTAGGATAATAGTTGTTATAGGAATTGTTAGGGTGAACTCTATTTCAAGGATTGGTTGTTATTGGAGAGGGTTAGGTAGCGTGGGTAGAAGGGTTGTGTTGAGTTTAATTAACGTATGTGGGTTCGAGTTTTGTTGCTAGATTAACGCGAAACTCATTAGAATAGATTTGTTCTTGCTCAAATTAATCCGAAACCACTGGTCCAACGCGCGTAGAATCAAACTCAATAGTCTCATTTACGGTCCAACATATCCGAATCCTTTATATCACGACATGACGCAACTGGCACGTTACATTCCACCGGAATCATTTTTATATCTAGATAGCGCAGGATACATTCAAAACAACGGTAACGTTCCACTTATATACCACATTAACTGAAACACCTACGACAAAAAACTCTTATACGACGTAAATACACAATTTGACGACCCCGACATACGTTCCAACTACAGACTATCGACGATAGACTTGAACGACAAACACAGACACAACACGGACAAGTACTGGTGGTTGCAGTTCAGTTAAACATAATCAGATCACACCTGTCACACCTATGTATTATACACACACAACACACAATGTAACACGCACCGTTTAAATTTAAGTAGTTTTAACGATCCTAACTACTCCTTAGTTACAATTAAGTCAGATAGTAATAATTAAATTAATAATACATATTGACACAGACAGTATCTACTGTCTCATTTACTTATTAATAACTATTGCGCCCTCCCTGGTAGTATAGTGGTCGGTATCCCGCCGGGGAGAGTATTCTTGATAGGTTATTTAGGCATGTGAGCAGACGGCTCTTGTGCCTCCGGAGGTTTTTAATTTTAGGGTTAAGGTATCTGTCTGTAGAGTTGAAGTCGTTGTTTATTCGCGGTACTGCCAAGTCTATTGCTTGAGATATATTGTTGTTCAGCTTGTCTAAGTGTGCGTCGATTTTGTTTTTCGTTAAGTTTCTGTCGTTTGTAATATCTGTGTCATCATTTTCTATTAAGAAGTCGCGATATTTTGCCCAGTCGGCTTTGTTAAAATTGTCGTCGAAGGTTAGTCTAGTTCCAGTGTGTCGAGTGTCTGAATCGAGATGTTCATTAAAGATGCTCTATGATCGCTGTCGTATGTAAAAGTGTCTAGGGCTTTTGGAGCAGGTAGATTGTGGAATTTAATTCTTTCGTCCGCGAGGCAGAGATCGAGGTACGCTCCGCTTTTTGGGAATGATGGGACTGCAGTTTTGAGTAAGGAGGTTCTATATTTGATTCTGCTTTCGGAATACCATTTGTTAACCGATACGCCTCTTGCGTTCTTCAAGGTATTACCCCAGGAGGTGTGTTTCGCGTTCAAGTCGCCACCGCGCCGGCTAAAGTTAATAGTGATTTGATCTATGTAATTCAAGGATTTCAAATAATTTCTTCAACTCTATCATAAATTCTTTTTTGCAATTGCTAGTTGCATATCCTGCAATAATATAAAATGTGCAATTATTCCGTAATTTAAGTTCTATTATTGTGGACTCGAAACTGATGCTATTTTTTAAACAGTTTGGTTGGATGCGTCTAAACGAGATGTTTTTTCGGATGATTATGCCTGTCCCGCCAGCTTGTTTGGAACGCGGTCTATCTGCGCGGAGTATGTGATAGTCTCTAAAGTTTATTCTGTGTGTGTGGTTTAATTTTGTTTCCGATAATAAAATTATGTCCGGGTTGTGTTGTGTGAGTGTGTCCAGGAGAGTGACTCTTCTCTCGTTAGTGATAATGGAATTCACATTGATCTGAATTATTTTTAATAAAGCAAAGCTTGTTTTGTTTTGTGGAGTGTGTTGTGTGTTGGCCATTTGTGGAGTTTAGAGTTCAATACCTAATGTTTCTGTTATTATGTTGATTTTATTCGCGTTTGCTTGTACGTTTTCCGCGATACGAGCAATGTGTGTATTTATGGATGAGGAGATAATGTTCTTTATCTCCTCTAGGAACAGGTGTGTTGAGAACGTCTTGGGTGGTTGTT